TAACGTAAACTACGCCAGAGCGCGTACACACCTCACGCACCGGATGCCGCGCGCAAGCTCAAAGACAGTTGGACATAGTGGTGTATTAGAGGTAAAAAAATGATATAAATGCTGTTTGGTTTCTCGCACAAACCGATCGTTTCGTGTCTTAGGACATCAGTGTGTCGTTACGAGCCGCAGGGTTTCATTTGGATTTGTCTGTGCATGTTTGTTTTACTCTCATAGATTTTGTTACCACTGCCATGACATCAACCGCTTGGCACACCTTCAGCCTGCATGGCTTTTTTCCAAAGATATTTTTATCAAATATCCCAAAGAGCTCTATTGAGGCAATGTTCACTTGAGTTGAGATATTTTTTTTAATATCTAAGTATTCCAATTAAATAAGTCTTCCACAAACCATTGAGACTTTAGTTTTACTTTAGTACTTTAGTTAGAACTTTAGTTCACCTTTAGACTTTTTGTGATGGATTACTTTCTAGACTTCACAGACCAACACTATTACATATACGTACATGTCCTTAACTGGTTCTTCTTATAAAAAACATTTTGCATTGTATATGTAATGGAGGCCAGGTGGTACGAGGTAGCTGTGCAGGTAAACCTCATTCCCCTGGCCTCGAGAGATGCACAAGCAACTATCACTAGAAGGCCGTTGTCATCCGTGGTCAACTCCCATGCTGGTAATAATCGGTTTGTTCCCTGAGCAGAACCGTTACAGTGGTGCCATGACCCGGGTGAGAGTGAGGTTTAGAGGCGTGAGTGTAACAGAGGCCAGCTCCTGGCTTTAATAGGTGCACTAGCGACTAACACTAAAAAAGCTGTGGTCTTTAGTGCTGTTATTAGTCTGCCCAACTCCCATGCTGGCAATCGTCAATTAGATCCCCAAGCAGAATCGTTTACAGTGGTGCCATGACCCGGATGAGAGGTTTAGTGGCATGTGTGTAATGGAGCCCAGCTGGTACAAGATGTTGTGCAGGTAAACCTCAGTTCCATAGATTTAAGAGTTGCGCCAGCAACTGATGCTATAGAGACTGCTTCCTTAGTGCATCTGACTCCCATGCTGTCTGTCAATGGTTCAAGTGCCACTCGGACCGGACCAAGCGGAATGGATTATAATATGAATTAGTAAAAGTGCTGGTAGTAACTGATTACATGTGATCTAGATTAATTACATTCCAAAAATGAAGTACTTGTAATTAGATTATATTACATTTTAAATGCTCATAATCAGTTTACAGCTACTTCTTTATGGATTACATGATTACAAATTATTCACACAAGGGAAGTAAATTATTCACAATTTATTGATTCTCCCTAATTCTTTTTTTTTCTTCTCTTTTTACATTTTTTGTTAATGTGATGCAGGGATTCCCAAACGTTTTGACAGTCAAACCACTTTGACCTAAATTATTTTCTTGAAGTCCCCCTGAGATTTAAAGGTAATATTTCAATAATTTAACAACACATTTGCATGTTCTCTGATGTCGGTTAATGGTGATACATTTATTTATTTATTTATTTATTTTTTATAACAGTAATCCAATTTAAATCTATAAAAAAAGTTATGTCAAAAGTAATCTAGAAGTAATCCAAAAGTATTCAGAATACACATCTAAAATGAGTAATCCTGATTACATTACAAAATATAATTTTCAACATGTAATATGTAATCAGTAACAGACTACAATTTGTAAGTAATCTATCCAGCACTGGGAATGCTAATATATAGTTTTTCAGAGGTTACAAAAGTTCTTGATATTGAAAATAGATTAATTCAGAAGGTAAACAGAAAGTAGACCGTTCACAACTGCACTGAGCAGTGTGCTTGCAGAAGTTACGTAATGTATTTAGAACAAACCATATAATCAGTACATTGTGTAATGAAATCAGTGCTGTCGAGCAAACACTGTAAAGATTTTTTTTCTCTTATAAAAGCCTTTTAGTTCTAATTGTAATCGTTGAATTTTTGAAAAGGAAAACTATTATATCTAGAATTGTTTTTCTAAACATTAATTCTCATTTTAGAAGTTCACTTGTCTATACAAGTGTAGATGAAAGTGAGGGTTATGTATGTTTGTGTGTGACTGCTGCAGGTGTGTTTGTCTCACTGCTGCTTACTGGGATCAGAGACGCTGTGATTTGACACTTCCCTCAGGAAACATGAGCTCAGTTTCGTCTTGTCCCCAACTCTGTTTGCCCTGCTGTTGGAAAGCGTTCACCCCTCCTCCACCCACTCTTACTGAGACTGGCATCTGTGAAGAAAGTAGACATACAAATAGACAACAATTTATATCACTACAACACCATTTGAGAGCTATTTTTCAGAAAGTTACATTGAACAGCTTGAGTTGAACACACACTGTTCGACTACAATGCTCAAGTTTGTAAACTTATGTCCTTATGTCGTTCCAAGCCTGTGCAGTTCTCTTCTTTTCAAAACACGAAAGAAGTTTCTGAAGAATATTTAAATTGTTTTACCCATACAACGGAAGTCAGTCAACCCTATTGACTTAGAACTTTGAGACAATGAGACTTTCTTTTAAGTTCAATCTTTTAAGTTTACGTTATTGCAAATGGACACAACACAGTGCCTGGTTGACAAGATCGTTCTTTTCTACGTCTCTCAGATTGAGATGGATCTCCACCTTTTTCCCACTTTGCAACATGGCCAAGCCTGAGCGATACGTGTGAGCAACCAATGGAGTGAGCGTAGAATTGCTAATATATTCCTAATGATGTGCTACTTCTCAGGAAGAGCCTCATACACAGCCCAGCTCACACCCGATAACACTGCACACCCGGGTGAGGACACACTTTGTCTGCTGGGTGCAAACTGGCCCTCCAGAGCACTGCAGCGCAGGACAGTGTTTCCTCACAGCACTGTGTAGCAGCTAACAGAAATGTAACAAGACAGACAGAGAGAATGAGAATAAAATTAAGATTATGTTGAAGAGTGGTTTTAGCTATGGGTAGAGACCAGTAACGTTGAATTAAAAATAAATGCTCTGGGGAAAAGAAAAGAAAAAAATGTGGGTGTGTTAGTGGACAAAGATTTTGGAAGAGTTTGTTCCGTATATTTCTCCTTTCAACTCAGTGATGATGGAGCGATGTTCCTCAGACATGTTTGACTGTCCATCCTGAAAATAAAAAGGTGTGAAATTCAACATGGCAGATAGATATTGTGACTCAGCATCTCTCATAGAAACCAAACAATCTGAGGTAAATATAAAAAGAAATAGACTCAAATGTGTAATTTATAGATACCAAATATCTCTATTTCTGGGCTCACCTGTAATTATTGTGGCTGTCATCAGCTTCTCTGAGATATTTTTTCTATCTATCTATCTATCTATCTATCTATCTATCTATCTATCTATCTATCATCTGTCTATCATCTGTCTGTCTGTCTGTCTGCTTGTCCATCCATATAGATAGATAGATAGATAGATAGATGAAGAGAGAGAGAGAGAGAGAGACTGTCTATCATCTGTCTGTCTGTCTGTCTGCTTGTCCATCCATATAGATAGATAGAGAGATAGATAGATGAAGAGAGAGAGAGAGAGAGAGAGAGAGAGAGAGAGAGAGAGAGAGACTTTTTCTTTTTGCTGGAAAAGGTTGTTTAAGTTCCAGAGAGCTCTATTCCAAACAGTTGAACTCATTCCCTGACCTCTGGCATGATGTGACATCCCAGGCCAAATTGGTCAGTCTCTTTTGTGTGTGAAATGAATTAGACATTCTCCCCTGGGAGATGTTTGTCCATGATGTGCTGACTGAAGGAGATCCTCCTCCACTACTGAGCGGGAGGGGGGTCCTGTTTGGTCATCTCACTGCTACGTGAACAATCAATTCTCTTTTCCCATAAAGTTGAGGTTAAACTGGCTTCCAGCAGAAGGTGTGTTTGTGTTAGGCCAGCAGGGCAAACAGCATGGGGAGAAAGGATAGTTGCAGGCCTTTTCAAACCTGGCAGCATTTTAAATAGTCTAAATAGAGGGGTTTTTTTTTTTTATTTAATTGACTGAAATGAACTGAAAACGTTTTTTTGTAAGAATAAGTAAGACATGCAAAGCAAAGAAAGAAGGGGGAAAGGCAATTGAATTCTACATTCAGCTGAAGTGTTGTGGCCAGTGACTGATTGAATGAGCATAAGCTTACATGTTTGAGCTGTGGAGTCACCAGGTGTGATCTGAAGTTTCGGGAGAGACCCAGACTTCTGTTTCAGCAGATCCTCAAGAGTCACATCTGAGCTGGAATTACTGCTGTGTTCTGCCCAGCATGAACGACAATAACAAAAAATGAGAATCCAAAATTTTCCAGATTTAAACTTAAGTAGCGAAGTTTTCCATGAATACGTTCAAAGAGTCAGTTTCAATGAATTGATCCACAACTCATTCAACTCAATCCACTGTTTTATTTAGTTATCTCTCTCTCTCAAAAACAAACAACAAAAAAAACCATGTAAAATATATAGTAAAAATATATGTAGCTAAATATTTCTGTTTATTGCTATTTATTGTTACATTAGCACATATATGGAAATGATTAACATTCCTCTTCATGTTCATTTATTTGCCTTGATTATTTTTAAAATTAGATTTGTACTGTATATATATATACTGTATATATATATAGTACAAATCTAATTTTAAAAATAATCAAGGCAAATATACATACACACACACACATGCATATATATATATATATATACACACACACACACACACACACACACACACACACACTTTTTTTTTAACCAACTTGGATACAATGGCTGTTTGGTTGAAATGATGGCAATAATATTTTAGTTATATCGCCCAAATTATTACTGTGGCACCTTGTCTATTTAAAAAAATAAAATAAAATCTAATAACATGGAACACTTACTTTTTCATTTTTTGATATCTTTAAGCAAATAGGTTTTACCTTCTGTGAATTGATAATGGTTTCAGTGTGGAAACAGCACTGTTCATGGCATCAGCTCTCACCCACTGCTTGTAGTTGCTTCTCAAGTTGACATGTGCTTCTGTGTTGTTCTGTCCAGACCCTGAACACCTCCTGTTCCCTGCTGCTCTGAAGACACCCGAGTCGTTTTAGCTATTTCTGCAGTTCCAGAACCTCATGAAGGCCAGATTAGAGATGGTTAATCACGGGCATTTTAATCACTTAAAGTCTAATCACTTAAAGTCCTAGTAAATATCTACGGAGAGAGAAAGCAGGGTATAATGCTGGTCTTACCAGATAGTAGCGTGTTTTAGGCAGACACCTCAGGTATGCATCATCGTGTGTGAGGGTTGGTCTGGTGGCCCTCTGAAGGTTGACAAGCTTCTGTGACAGAAAGAGTAAACTGAGGATCCAGAGAGGATCTCTAACTGTTGATCGCAGACTCTTATATGATGAGTCCTCTGCACAATGTGACTTTGCTGTAGCCTGGAATTGAACTGCTGGTTTCGACTGGCCCCCAGACTGAGCCTGGTTTCTCCCAAGGTTTTTTCTCCATTCTGTCACCGATGGGAGTTTTGGTTCCTTGCCGCTGTCGCCTCTGACTTGCTTAGTTGGGGACACTTCATTTCCAGCGATATCGTTGACTTGATTGCACAGACACTATTTAAACTGAACTGAGCTGGACGATGACATCACTGAATTCAATGATGAACTGCCTTTAACTGAAAATTGAGTGTTTACTGTTGTCCTTTTGCATTGACACACCATTTTCCTAATTAATGCTGTACAGTTGCTTTGACACAATCTGTATTGTTAAAAGCGCTATATAAATAAAGGTGACTTGACTTGACTTATATTTTGGCAAATCAATGCACAGCTTGAAACATTGAGGAACAGTTGAGATCTTGAAACAATTGAGGTTTTTCTTTCTAATCTGAGGGTCTCGTAATGGCCGCTCTTTTTTAGTAGGGCTGGGAATCCCCAGCATACAAAACCAATGAGAAGTAAACATGCAACCACAGGAAGCCATTAACTGCAACGGGGACCAATTAGGTCCCAGCAGGTGTCCATGGCTCAGCCTGCTTTGGTCCCAGCTCAACATCATGAAGTCTGGACAAAGCTTTTGGCTGGGCGGAGGAAACAACAGGGCAGTTTAATTTGCTCAGCAATTTGTACCAAAGGTTTCCTACTGGCAGCCCATAAAATCCTTTATAGCTCTCCCTTTGTCCTCCCCTCCAGTGCTGGTCATTAGAGGACACAATTACAGCCCGCTGAAGAAGTCTTGCTTTCATAGGAGGAGATTGATAAGTCAGTGACCACTCCCCCACATCCTTACCCCCCAGTCTCTAACTCTTATTGTCCTCAACCCAGACGGCCAAAATCAAAGTCAATCACAAGTCCACACCAACTGCTTCCCCCATATTACAACGACAGGCTTCCTCAATCCTCCGGACTTCAGTAACACTTCAAAGTGTCTCTGGGAGACACACATCTACTGTCCTGCAATGAGTTACACTACAGCGCAATTGACATTACATGGACATCTAGATTCATTTTTGCTCAAGAGATGTTTGCCATTCACCTTTCTTGATGTTTTGTACACACTGTAGCCTATATTCACTTCAGCAGGGCCAGAGGAATTTTTTTTGGTTGGAGGTTTTGCTTAAAATTCATTTTAGGAGGAATAAAAATACGCAGAGACAATTTGTGACATATAGTAAGAGTATAGACCTATGTAAATAGTACAGATCATTTGGTTTTGGGAGAATTAGATGATAATTTGTTGAGGGTAAATGATTTCTGTCTTTTGTAGACTTTTTGGTGGCTTGGCAAATTTGAACACAGTCCGAGACATTGTTGAGATTTCTTCTTAAACTCTAAAGGAGACATTTGTGAGATCACTGTGGTGCAAATGTCTCAATTTGATCTCAATTTACTCTCAGCGCTGTCTTGGAGAAACAACTGAGACATTAAAGAGGTTTCACACATGATTTTTCTTTCCTATGGGAGTTTAGCAAGGTTAGGACACCACATTTTTCAGGGTTATGCACTAAGACCAGCCATGGTGAGGAAGTTCATACTTGTATACTTGTCGATGCTGTTGCTGGTGAGGTTGCAGTGGGGCACTGTCATGAATATTTCAGCACAGAGACTTCCTCTAATGCTCTGATAGAGAGAAAGGAAATGGTCAACTTTGTTTGAAATGGTAATGGCTACCCCACTGATGTGGATGATGTGTTTGTTACTACAATAGGTGGTGTATGGATATGTGTATGTATACAGTACGTGTTGATTGGGTGTGCTTTGACCCAAATGTCCAGGAGCTCATCTTGGATGTTAAAGGGGTCATATGATGCGATTTCAATGTCGTGAAGGCGCTGTGTTTCGTTGTGAAAGCGAAACTACTTTGTTTGGTCTTCCAAAAGAGGACGATATTCGCTTTGTCATGCCTAGAGCTGATACGTGCTGGTCGCTGAGGAAATACATCAACTTCGCGCTGTGGATCGCCGGATCGGCTTTCACCGTGGACGAAGCGGAGTCCAGCCCGGGGTCGTCACATGTGGTTGCCGCAAACCCGCCGGACGCTCCTTCGTCGAATCCGCCGGCCGCACCGTTCAAAAGCCCGGCCTCCGCTCACTCTAGCCCGCTGTGTGAAACTACGTTTTTTGGCCTTCCAAAAGAAGACACGACTAGAAATCAGTGGTTAAGTTGTATTTACAACACTGTTCCAGAACAGTTCAACCCAGTGGTGTAGTCTAGTTTTTTATAGTGAGTATACTGTGATTTTTCCCTCCCAGCCTCATACTCACCCGTCCCAGAGCAGCACTTCATAAGCACCACCACACTCACTAAACAGTGCTCTACGCTTACTTTTATTTTTAGGAGCACTTGTGCTGCTAATTTGTACAAAAAAATAAAAACAGGAGCACAGAAAAAAAATCAGGAGCACCTTCTGAACAATAACAAAAATTAGCCTACCCATTACGAAGTAATATTGGACTCCTTAAAGGATTAGTTCACTTCTGAATTAAAATGCAGGGTTTTTCTCTATATAGTGGACTTCAGTGGGGTTCACTGGGTGGAAAGTCCAAATTGCAGCTTCAGTGCAGCTTCAAAGCATTCTACACGATCCCAGACGAGGAATAAGGGTCCTATCTAGCGAAATGATCAGTCATATGTATATGCTACTTTGACGTACCAGGTAAAGCTACGATAGCATCAGCCTCGTTTTCTGTATCGCGTAGGATAATATCAGCCTTATCTGGTTCATTTTCTGTCGTTTCTATAATGGTAACGTTCCTGTCATCTGTTTGCAGTGTCACCCGAAGCAGTGGCAGCTTCAGGGGCAGGCTTACGAAAACACTGAAAGAGTGTAATCATTTCATATCTCCTTTAGTGATTCACATTAATTCATTTCAAGCTTGCACACTCAATGCTGCGCAAGAGTTGCACAATAGCAATAGTCGTCAAAAGAAACACAGCGTGATTATCAAGAAGTCGGTGCTTCGCAACACAGACAGGGTGAATTTATGAATGAACGTGTGAAAGGTCTGTCACAAAACAATGTTATTATGTATCCGCACGCTTTTTTAAGTGGGTATATGCAAATCCTGCATATCACGTAGACTACACCACTGGTTCAACCAGATGTGTGCAGCACATTTTATGGAGGACTGTTTCCTGATCCTGGGAGAGTAGACTACAATGCCGGCT